TGGTCGCTAAGTGTGAAAATGGTCGCTAAGTGTGAAAAATGGTCATCAATTGTTGGGACCCAGGGTACTAAAGGGCTTTGAGGGTCATCAGGTTAATTAGCTTAGGCTAGGTCTCTGAGATAAGTGGCTGGACACCTAAGTGGAAAAATTACTGAGAACCCAGCCCACATAAATAGCCATGGAGAAATCCAACCAAGTTCAAGGGAATTCCAAGGATGAGGCTTTGCACACAGCACTAAATCTCCGCCCTTAAGGCTCTTTGCACAGGGCACTGGGATCTGTGCACACGACACCTGGAATTTTGCACCAGGCACTAAGATTCTGCACCCAAACCTATATCGTGCACTCAGTACGTATGGTCCCACTGTTAGGGGATGATAACATGTTACCAGTTATGTTAAAACACTAATCATTATGTTATGCTTAGCCGCACCCCCCTTTTTTTGTATACAATAAAGGTAGCACTCTGGCAACAGAAAAATGCTCATTCTACCAAGACCCTCTTGTGTTCGTTTTTCTTTCGCCTTCTGATGGTCTTGAACCTCGGCCCGTAGATTGAGACCACCACAGGTTGTGGGATCCTGAGGTCGATCGCCACAGAAGACACCCTCGAACCCAGTGCCCCAGGTGGGAAGGAGACGAACAAGGCCTCTGACTTGCGGAAATCCCTGGTCCGCCGGAGGTAGATCCGCAGGGCGCGGAGGACATCCAACCGATGCCAAAGGCGCTCCCTATCATTGGACAGACCTGGGCAGAAGTCAGGCAGGACGATCTCCTGGGCCCTGTGAAAGGGGGTATTCACTTTCGGGACGAAGGCTGGGTCAAGGCGAAGGACCACTCTGTCCTGGTGAAAGTGACAAAGGTCGTCCTTAGAAGACAGGGTGCCCAGCTCGGAGATACGCCGGGCGGAAGTGATAGCCACAAGGAAAACCACCTTCAGCGACAAGAAGCGCAAGTGTACAGAATGGAGGGGCTCAAACGGAGCTCCCGTTAAAGCCTTGAGGACTAGGGGAAGATCCCACGTGGGAAATCTATGAATGGGGGGAGGCCTAAGATTCGCCGCCCCTTTGAGGAGGAGCTTGACCAGAGGTGACTGGGAAAGGGAAGAAGACCCCGCCCCCCCCAAGACCGAGGACAGAGCAGCCACTTGGCGACGTAAGGTGTTCTGCGAAAGTCCGTCCTCCAGACCTTTGTGAAGGAAATCCAAGACGTTGGGAATGGTGGCCCTATCGGAAGGAATGCCCCTGGGAGAGCACCAGCGGACGAAGGCCGCCCAGATGGAGTTATAAATGCGGGTCGTCGAGGGGCGACGGGCCGCCTCGATGGTGTGGATGACCTCGGAAGACAGATGAGCCCCCCTTAGAAGCCGCGGTCAGCTGGAGCCACTGAGGCTCCGGGTGAATCAGGGCCCCCTGTCGCAAGACCACTTCCCCTTGCGGAATCCTCCACGGGGGAGCCACCAACAGCTGTACCAGGTCCGCGAACCAGGGCCTCCTGGGCCAAAACGGGGCCACCAGAATGACCAAGGCTCCTTCCGCCACCACCTTCCTGACAGTCCCCAGGATGAGTGGAATGGGGGGAAAGGCATAGAGAAGGCCCGGGGGCCACCGGCTCCTGAGGGCATCNAGGCGGTCTCTCAAATAGCCAGATCCACTACCATGGAGCGCTTTGTGGATGGTAAATAGGACCTTCTTCACTTCTGGTATTAAGGTAGCTTCCTATTTTTTATTAAAAAAAAGATATGTACTGTGGCAAGATTTTTGTTTTGAAAAATGCATGCTGATTTCTGATAATTATCACATTGTTTTCAAGGTACTTACAGATCAATTTCTTTAGAGATCAGTTAGTGAAGACTTTATCACTTTTCCAGGGCTCCTGAATGGCAATTGTCATCTACTTTCTTCAGTATCTTAAGATTCAAATCACATGTTTCTGAAGATTTAAAACTCATTTTAAGTAAGCAGAGACTCCGGTGACAGTGATTCTGGCAATCTCAAACTTCAGCCCTGTCACTTCAAACCCATTTCCTAACTTTTGGTAAATATTTTTAATTGTTAAAAATTGAACCACAGTAGGCATTCAGATTGCCTTTTCTTGATTGTTGCCATTTGGTCTTTACTTTGTGATTTTATTTCCTTTTTTAAAAGGCTTTTGAAACAAACACAAAGATTTTTATTAGCAGATAAACTAAAATAGGGCAGTCATTGTGTTCTGACAAAAGGTAGGCTGTCATTTATGTGCACTGCTTTTTGTTACATGTTTTATTCAGTTCTCTTGCAAAGAGAAGAATGCACTCAAACATAGCATTAAATCTTCCAGTTTCAGGTCTAAACACTATAACATTCTCATATTGCCTTATAGAATCTTGAAGCTGAATCCCTGATTAAATGAAGTAAGGCAATGATAAATTTTACAAAAACTGTATTGGCGAATATACTTTATTAAGCTAATTCTTTTAGAAAGTTATGATTTTTTTATTAGATTCTTGCAAAAGAATTATTGAAAAACATATAAGCCCAGAATGAAAGAAAAGGTAAGGCTTTTGGCACAGTTTGGCCAGTTTTTCCTTCTGCTGATCCTTTGCACACTTAGACAAATTTTTGAAAGTAAGAGTTACACTTGCAAAGCCTTGAGTTAGTTTTTAAGAAATGTCCTTATTCCTTACCCATTCTGTCACTGTTGTTCTGATCTTATTTATTTATACTTATTGCTAATTCTGCTAAAACTCACTGGAGTATGGCTTTAATTTTACTGGACAGTATAAAATTAAATCCAATCTGATATATTTCATATGTTTCACAACAAATGAAACAAAATATGTATCATATAGTGAGGAAAAGCCCTATCACAATCAGAACAAATAAGGCACATAAAATAGGCACACATTAATTTACTCAGAATTGGAGCTGACACATTTTTTAAGGATCAACTAAAAGCTAATAGGGTACAAGGTAATGTAATGTCTTCTATTGCTTTGTGGTGCTTTATTTAAACAGAATTTCTAAAAAGTAGTCAGCATGACATCATACTGCAATGCAGAATATATGGCAAAGTACGGAACACTGTTACCTTCCTACTGAAGTGGTACTTATTTATCTACTTGCATGCTTTCAAACTGTAACTTTGCAGGAGCTGGGACAAGTAAGAAGCTCTTCCTACCATGCGGGGTAAGGTTCAAACTGATGGAGCACTGACCTTCTCTGGCATCATTTAAGACACTGAGCCACTGCATCTCTCAGAGGATAGGTATTGAGGCAAAACAGGCACATTTCCAAAGTTCAATCAGTATGACGTTATTTCATAGATGGCAGCTGAATGGCTTCCATTATATTGAAATTTACAGGATAGGCAGGAATAATAAGGGAGAGACAACTGATTTTGAAAAGCAAATTGTAACCAATCTCTAAAGCATTAGAGCTGACTCCACCGTCGGTAATAGCACCAAATTATGACTGGTGAATTGCTTAGGCAAATAATATGGCATGTACTTGTATTATGTAGTTAGCCCATTCTGGGTTAAAGGATTAAAAGTGATTACTTTTTGAATGGGAGATTGCAGTGAATATTAGGACTGTAAGCTACATTGAAAAGTGGAGAAATATTGCAGAAGGCAAGGCGGACCACTTTCATATTACAATCATGAAAAATGCAAATATATGCCCCTATAGTCACCCCTATAGTCAATTCAAGGACAACTTTAGGGTGACAATTACTTTTGCAAACATTCTCTTGTAGTGGAAACAATTAGTGTAAAGGTATTGATGTTTGTGTTATGGAGGATTATCAGCAAGAGTAAAAAAAAAGTTATGGGTTTCTTCTGTACCCATCCATACTACTTGACATTTGAAAAAGAGATTTTCAGGATGAAATATTAGCTAACTAAAAATCTCCCTCCTGGCACAAAGCCTACTCCTGATACTTGATATTCCAAATATGCCATCACAGTACTGCTTGGTCAACTGGATTAGCAGACTGCATTTATTTTAACACTGACAAATGGGATAGCTTCATTCTCTGCATGCAAGAACATTACAAAGCAGTTCAGGAAAATAAAGCAGGCTGGAATTTTACATCATTTAATCAGAAGAATTAAAGACCTACTACCTGCATTTGCATGAACATTTTTAGCGTCTTTAAAGGCTTACTCGGTTTCATTTCTTTTTCTGCCTTGACACATTGTACATATCCGGCCAACATAGTTGCTTTGAGGATCAATGCTTTGGAGTCCTACCAAAAAAAATGAATCAAGTTCATCCTCAAGCTAACATTGTGGGGTAAACCCAATACCCTTGGCATTTGCCATCTAAAAGCTCAACTTTATTTTACGATGGGGTTATGTATCATGCAAAAGAGATGCAGGTTGATCATCAGCATCTAATCTACAGAGTTGACTGTGCCCATTTAGAAGGACTAATAATATGCTTTGGTAATAAAGAGTTTTGTATATCAGATATTCCCATTTAAAAACAACACCATCCTGCAATGTAATGCCGAATTAACTTTTCAGCAGCATTTTTGTTTTTAGCTGTAGTTTGTTTGAACATAGAAGGCACTTGACACCTGGGAAAAAAAGAGGAGAATGTTAAGGAAAGAAGCGAAGCATAATTGGACATTAAAATTCAAAACTTTGTTTCATTTCTCTTTCAATTTGCATATTTTTAGATTAAAACAGCAGGATGGCAGCAGAAAAGGAGATGTTTGTTATTAATTGTTTGGATTGAGGTCACTATTGATATTAAATATGAAAGGGCAAGTTACTCAATTATCTTTGAATATCTGATTGGTTTTGGGGCATTGTTCAGATTTCAAACAGAAAAATATTTCATGCTTTCCACAAGTATATGCACTTACAATAGAGAATTATGTCTGCAAGGCAGGGGTTGATGTCAAAGGAATAGAAAGGAACAGACTTGATTTTTTTAAAAAATATATATTAAAATGTCCTATTATGTGATGAATATACAATCCTTCTTTGCTACCATGGGCCCTATGCTACCATAGGGCTCACAACCATAGAGCACACACCTAGAGCGGCCGCTGCTGGAAGAATCAGGAGCCAAGTTCTGGAGTTTGGAAGCCGGGGAAGAAGTTATGCTCAGAGCACGGCAGCGAAAGTGGTGGCGGTATCCTGGCCCTGCAGGGAGAGCTGGGCTAGGGAATGGTGAGACTGGGAGGCATGCAAGCTGGGGGCAGAACAGGCGCTTGCACAACCACCCTCTACAGTTGGGCAGAGCTCCATGCACTGACCTAGGGGAGTATCCTGAATGTGCCAAGCCGCGGGAGCTGGGGAACAGGCAAAGCATCAAATGGCTTGGTGCCTTAGGGATACCCCCTAGGTCAGTGCATGGAGCTCTGCCCAACTGTAGAGGGTGGTTGTGCAAGCGCCTGTT